ACCGTGTGTGGGGATGGTCTCCATGCTTAAACCGAAATGAAAGTAAGTTTCGATTTCCCCAAAGTTATTTTTGAAGATTTCTATCGGTTTGACCGGGTCAGAAGATTCTGAAGATGTAGGGTACTGGAATCTGCTGAGGTTTGCCGAGTGGAAGTGGTGAAGCTTTATTCAAAACCACGGTGTTTACGAATAAAGATTACCCCATAAACACTGTGTCGCATTTCTGGGTCTCTGACTTCAACGTTGTGGTTACCTCCGTGATCAAACTACCAACTATAGTTTAGGGGCCTGTTTTACGAAATTTTAACTAAGATAAAAAAAAACAAACAAATTTTAGTAATTTGACTGGATAGCCTAATATTAGATTTATTTTAGTGCTTATCTAAACAAAATTGAAGTTGAAGTATATACTAAAATTTGGATTTTATTTTTAGTTAAAATTTCGAGAAACACGGCACAGGTTCTTTTTCTTATCTTTATTTCTATAAGCATAGAAATAAAATGAAAATGAAATGGGGTTTAGCGTCCTACTGTTTCGCTCCTATGCTGGGCTAATGAAGACGGGCATACGCCATACAGTGTGCTATGAGGGAGATTTTGCCCGGGCAGCGGCACTATCGCCTACTCTTATATCGAATTCCAACTGCCAAGGGATGTTTTACATGCATTCCAATATATACACGGGACCTCGGTTTTTCGTCTCATCCGAAGGACTAGCCAGCTGTCCTATAAGCATAGAAGCATTTTGTTAATCACATATCCCCCTCGTTCTCAAAGAAGTACATATTATATGGTTTGATATGGCAGTTAGGATAGTCTGCATATGTTCTACCGAATCCCACCCACACTCTCTTTTATAGGTGCCTACACCCTAATCACTTACGTCATAGACAGGCCCGTACCCCCCCCCCCCGTGAAAAAATTATCGACCATAAAAGAACCCTAGATATACAGTGTCCGTCAATTTAACAGCACCCATGAGAACACCCCCCCCCCCCTCGTTGCTATGAGCTAGTTACGGCCCTGGTCATAGACTAACCACAGTACTATATTCCCAAATATGGAATAGACATCCCTCATACCTTGCACACCAGCGGGGATTATTACCGTATTTACAGTTTAATAAACAAGAGAGGAGGTGATATATTTTGACAATTAAGAAGACACAATATGATAGATGTGTTTATTAACCTATAGTTCATTTAATGTATCAGCTTATCACCAATTTACGTTGGTCTACGTGATATATGATATGCCTTCTTTATGAATTTCGAACCAATAATTGGTCAAGGACATAATATGGTCGCAGTGACGATATTGTTATACCAGTGTTTACGAATAAAAATTAACTCGTAACCATGTGCACAATGTCTATTGTAGTACTATCAGATCTCCAATCTTCACGCTGTGTTTTCTTCCGTGACGAAGTTACAACTACAGTTCAGGTTCTTTTCTTAAATACTTTATTTCTATAAACTGAAAGCGTTATACACAATTCTTCCTTGTCTCAAATAACTAAATATATGGCTGGTACGACCGGCGGGGTGAGCTCCCTCGAATGCTATTTCCCCACCTTCTTTTATAGGTGCCTATTCATTTGAGGTGTTAATCTAAAGACTGATAACAACTAAGTTCTAAATATGGAATGGACATGCACCCCAATCTGAATATCGGAAGGGATTGTTACCTAATTTGGTCAACAAATATGATATATGTTTTATAACAAAGAAAAATGTATATGACCAACATGCTGATTAATGTATGGCTCAGTTATCGTATGAAAATAACCAGCATATACTTTCTATATTTATGGTTATGAACTTAGAATCAATTATATGAAACATTACGCTATTGTTCCAGCCATCATATTTCTCCATTTCTATATTTATGGTTATGAACTTAGAATCAATTATATGAAACATTACGCTATTGTTCCAGCCATCATATTTCTCCATTCTTTGTCTTTAGACCCCATGTTCTGATATTGTCACAATATTTCATAAACAATTTTAATTTGCGTTTCAGAATTAACTTATAGCATAGCTAATATTTTGGCAATGGAGAATAATTAATCAAAACCATAATATTATTTTACATAGATGTTCCTTAGCACAAATTCCTGACCTCTATATTACTAAAATATGCGACGAAAGATTAACTCGTAACCATGTACACAGTGTCTATACGACTAAAGATTAACTCATAACCACAATATTTACAAATATAGGTTACATCGTAACCACAGTGTTTACGAATAAAAATTAACTCGTAATCACAGTGTTTACAAATAAAGATTACCTCGTAACCACGGTGTTAACGAATAAACATTAACTCGTAACCACAGTGTTTACCAATAAAGATTAACTCGTAATCACAGTGTTTACAAATAAAGATTACCTCGTAACCACGGTGTTTACAAATAAAGATTAACTCGTAACCTCAGTGTTTACGGATAAACATTAACTCGTAACCACAGTGTTAACGAATAAACATTAACTCGTAATCACAGTGTTTACGAATAAATATTAACTCGCAACCACAGTGTTTACGAATAAAGATTACATCGTAATCACAGTGTTTACGAATAAAGATTAACTCGTAATCACAGTGTTTACGAATAAAGATTAACTCGTAATCACAGTGTTTACTAATAAACATTAACTCGTAACCACAGTGTTAACGAATAAACATTAACCCGTAATCGCAGTGTTTACATCTTGATAATCGACAACACTGTGTAGCAGTAAACGGAATCTCCCCGAACCCCATTGGGCATTCCCGATGGTGTCCACCAGGTCAGTGTATTGGTGCCATTAATTTTTTTTATCATATATCAATGACATTGTGAATAATATAAAATGAAACTACTTGCTGCTGATACCTCTCTGTACTTAAAAATAAGTGATCCAGAGGCATGCGCAGTTACGCTAACAATCAATACATGGACGGAAACATGGCTAATGACCTTTAACCGCCTCAAGACAGAATTTGTTTTGCCCCCCCCCCTTCTCTATTGTTCTCAAGTCAAGCATGTAATTATCAAATAAAAAAGGATTAAAACTTTAATCCGCTTCACAGCAATGTGGTTTACCAGAAAAGTGAAATTCGACAAAATACAACTTTATATATGTTACAGTCAATGACTACAATCAGGCAATGTGTACAATGCCTTTGTAACCCTAACCCTAACCCCCACCACAACCCTAACCCTAACCCGGCAATGTACACATCGACTGGTATATTTCAGGCATTGTACACATTGCCTGATTGTAGACATTGACTGTCACGTATATAGTTTACTACATTAAACATAATCTGATCAAAATATTAAAAACAAATCATAAACCTACAAAATGTGAAATAGCGTCGGCGCACGTCGGCGCACGTCGGCGCAATTTTTATTACATTTAAAGATACTCATTAACCGATGACACGTGAATTTGTCTCATATATTTTAATCATTAAACATACATTATGCAATAGCTAAATCCGCCTATTGTAGGTCTATCTTTAGGCCTGCAATGTTATATAAACTGTTAATTAGACATTTATTAACATGACCTTAATAAACCCTCGATGCTATCGTATGAGTCGGATTTTCATTGGATTTGGACTCTATCTGCAGCTCCCCACTCATTAACGATTAAATCAAAAAAAAAATGGATAACCGAGACTATGATCGAGACTAGGCCCAAAATTCAATCGCTAATATCTCGGTTCAGAGTGGAGCAGTTTGATAGAAATTTTCAGCATATTCAATTTAAACATATTTTATTGCACCAACAAAAATAATTTTGATACAATTGGATTGGGCAAAAGTTATTAAAACTTACAAACGTCCTTTCCATATTCAAAATATTCCCTTTGCATTATCTAGTTTTTAACTATTATACTGAGTTAACTGACAGCTCTTTATCTAATCTTCCATAATGTATCTTTAACATATAGCCCGTTCAGACGCTTATTTTTAAACAAGTTCATAATCGCAGGGGGTTTTAATCGTGTTGAGTTCACACGTACTATAAGCCAAACCAGTTTAACAATTCTGACCTCTTCGGTCGGAGGTTAGAGTTAACTACGCATGGGTAGCTTCATATTTATTCTTTATTCGGTTCTCGCACGCTTTCGATAACATTGGCACTTTCGGACCCCGATATTTTCACAGGAATGTAACTTGCTGCGTACTGCGCAAGCTCAAAGCAAGCTGGAGCTGGGGTGTTTAAGCCAACCCGTTCAGACGGCTAAGATGAATCAGTTTAAAATAAAAAAAGCCTTCTCGAAGACAGGGTTTTTTAAACTGCTTTATTTGCCCCACATTTGTGTTCAGACGCTTAAGTTAAACTGGTTTAACGATCTCCGGGGTTTTTAAACCAGTTCAACTTAAGCGTCTGAACGGGCTATAGAGTTCGGAGCAGAACAGTAGGACGTTAAACCCCATTTCATTTCATTTCATATCTCAAGAATGTAAAATCAAACTATTACCGTTCCCAGTCACTACATCAATTATTTGCTCAACCGGAGCTGTATGGAAAATTGTTAAACTTTTTAAAAGAGACAAACTTTTATTACAAATTTTAGTTGTATATATATATATCTGTATTTTTGTTTTTAATTATTTATATACATAAAGGACTTATATTTATTTGTATTTATTTTTAACAACATTGACTGTGATACTTGTTTTTATTTATGTATATAAATATATTTATGTGACATTGATTTAATTTGTCTCGTCAAAGTCACCATGTGTTTGGCACCATAATTCCCGGTTGGAGCTGACGTGCCATAAAACTCCATTTCATTTCATTTCATTTTACTAGATGAACAATAATAATAATGATATAGTCTATAAGCCTTTGTTTACTTAAGTTTCACATCTCTCCGCCATAACACCCTCTTGTTGGGGGCATTGTGGGTTTAAACCACTTTAGGTTTACTACAACTTTCAGTGAACTCAGTAAGAATATCGGAAGTAACTGACACAAACACCGTGAACTTACCTTTCAAAACAACTGTAAATGGAACAGCCACGCTGATAGTATTATTAGTAAAGATTCAAGCTTAGTAAACTTTCTTCGCTCCTTTTATTATGCCGATGTTATTTAGGACGGGTGCACTGGCTACTATTGTGGCCTATTGTTGTCAGTCCAGAAGTTTGCAAAATTTATTTAAAAACCTAAATAAAACGAAATGAAAGTCAAAATCAAAAGTAATATAGAAACAAAAGTCAAAATAAAAGCAAAAGTAAAATCAAAAGCAATGGCTAAATCAAAAGCAAAAGTTCAGTAAAAGTTAAATCAAAAGTCATATGAAATGGAGTTTAACGTCCTACTGTTCTGCTCCGAACTGGACTAATGAAGACGGTCATACGCCATATAGTGTGCTCTGAGGGAAATTTTGCCCGGAGAGCGGCACTATGGTCTACTCTTTATATCGAATTCCAACTGCCAAGGGATCTTTTACGTGCACGCCAATGTGAACACGGGGACCTCGGTTTTTCGTACCATTTTAAATTCGCAGTATAATATATTTGTGTTACTTTTTGTCATGTTGTTCGCAAAATTAGTTCCATCTTTAGTAAGCAGGTTCATTTCTGTCTGTTATTCATTTCACAACTTGTTGTGATCGCCACAACAATACTGTTTTTCATCAGGAAAGGACACTGGGCAAAAAATGCAGAAATGATCCTGTGTTACTGTCGGTCCTAATGATACCCCAGGGGCTCCATGGGGGCTTCCCACTCTATGAGGGCGGGGGTTTGGTGGGGTTCTCTCCGAACAGGCGCAGAGACCGTATATTATGGTGCTTTATGGTGATTTTTCTAGCTTAGCACATATTTAACGTGCGGCCGGCAACCTTAGCAATTCATCAAAATCGACGCAAATTCATGACTAAAAGGGGACTCCAAACTACGCAAAAACATTAACTAGTTTCGGGACCCCCTGAAACTACCATACTCCTTGACAGCCCATCCCTGAAAATGGAGAGGAAGGATAGGGTGTTAAAACGTTTTGCAAATTTCTGCATTACTTGATTAGATTAATCATAAGTAGAAACACGCCATATAAAATGACAATTCGTATATTATTTTACCAGCTACAAAACACACAAAAAGAATACATTTCCATTTTACCCAATAAACAATTTATTGTCATGCATTTCATGTAGAAAGATATGATGTTAAAAAATTGTTGCACATTTCTGTATTACATGGTAGACATTAAATTATCATAACAATTAACTCATGAATAATTCCCTTCTCAGATAGAGAGCTGTTTCAATAAACAATTTATTGTCATTTCATGTAGAAAGATATCGTGTTACAAATTGTTGCACATTTCCGAATTACGTGGTAGATATTAAATTATCATATAAATTAACTCATAAATAACTCCCTTCTCAGATAGAGAGTTGTTCCAATAAAAAAATTATTGTCAGTAGAAATACGCTATATAAAATGATAGTTCGTATATTATTTCACTGCTACACAATAGGAAATGAAATATGTTTCCGTTTTATCCAAAAAACAATTTATTGTCATTTCATGCAGAAAGAGGTCTTAAATTATCATAACAATTAACTCTTGGTATTTTGATCGAGTATTTTACAGCAACAAGAACGTTTTCGTTTAATCGAAAATTCCAAGAAACAATTTATTGTTAGTTCGAGTGGAAAGTGCTACAGGTGGTAGACAATATTTAAATGTTGTTCAATAGGTATTTTCAAAAACGTATTAGCCTATGCAGATAGATGTTTATATGTAAGGTCCACTTTTTGTATGAAATAGGCGTCCTAAATTAATGCAACATAGGCGGCTTATGAAATTTTGCATTCTCAGTTTATTCATCCCTTAATTCTGTGAAATAAAAAAAACAACATTTTGCCACCAAAGCTGGTTTGAATACTGTTTGATGCAACGTGAACGTACCTTTTCCTGCGTGCCCAGTTTGTGATATTTTAGTATGTTTACGGTAATAATATGTCTTAAAATGTTATTTACTATTATAAAGGTAACAACTATTATCGTGATACACGTGATATACATATATAGGTTTCATTGACGCTGGATATATGTTTGCTTATTTCATTTTGAATCCGTGTGAGAGATTCCGCTCGGTGTATTTCTTCATAGTCAGAAGATACTCCATCTTGTGGTAACTATGTATTGTGACACCACATCTTGCGGTAACTATCCCTGACATTATAAATTAGTATGCACAGATAGTTCTTTATATAAAAAGACAAAATGTCTTCTTTTTTTTAGTGTTATTAAAGTATTCTTATTGTTATAGCATTGCAAATGGGCTAATTATTTTATATTTTCGAAATTTTCCCATGTTTTCACTTAAAAATGTGGTATGTGTTTTCTTAAAAGTGAATATAAAAATATATCAAAAAATATGTTCTTCAAATAAGTTCCCATAAACAGCTTCATTCTGTCATTTATTTCATAGAAATTGACAGAAAATTAGAGCAGGTAGGATAAAATTGATATAACGTCGGCGGCCATATTTGATGACGTCATAGTGAAATTACCTATAACGTGGTGAGTGTCCACCCAAGTTCAAATTATATTGTTCGGCACCCACTAAACATTTCTTCAAAAAAATCCAGCGGCTGCCAGGCAGGATACGCCCACATTTTCGAGAGATGGATAGAGAACAAGATAACAAGAAAGTGATTTTTCCTACTTTCAAGGGCCATAATTCAGGAAATTACAATTCAATATGCGCGAATATCGAAAGGAACTGAGATCTTTGTGTTATAAACTTACATTTCAAGTTTCAACAAAATCGGATAAAAATTGTGACCTCTATAGGGTCCACAACCTTGATATACCATATTTTTACGCTATTTGAGAACGAACGGCGGCCATTTTGTCTGTCAATTTTGGGTTGATTTTCACGAAATTTGAATTCAGTCGTCCTTAGGGTGTAACAGTGATATAATAATATATTTTTTTTAAATCGGATAAAAATTATGACCTCTATAGGGTCCACAAGCTAAAAACGCGATTTTTCGTACAATCAGGGGCCATAATTCAGGAAGTTATGGTCACACCCCACACGGTCACACCCCAGTTACGCCCACATTTTCGAGAGATGGATAGAGAACAAGATAACAAGAAAGTGATTTTTCCTACTATCAAGGGCCATAATTCAGGAAATTACAATTCAATATGCGCGAATATCGAAAGGAACTGAGATCTTTGTGTTATAAACTTACATTTCAAGTTTCAACAAAATCGGATAAAAATTGTGACCTCTATAGGGTCCACAACCTTGATATACCATATTTTTACGCTATTTGAGAACGAACGGCGGCCATTTTGTCTGTCAATTTTGGGTTGATTTTCACGAAATTTGGATTCAGTCGTCCTTAGGGTGTAACAGTGATATAATAATATAGTTTTTTTTAAATCGGATAAAAATTATGACCTCTATAGGGTCCACAAGCTAAAAACGCGATTTTTCGTACAATCAGGGGCCATAATTCAGGAAGTTACGGTCCGATATGCGCGAATATCGGATACAAATTATGACCTCTATAGGGTCCACAAGCTAAAAACGCGATTTTTCGTACAATCAGGGGCCATAATTCAGGAAGTTACGGTCTGATATGCGCGAATATCGAAAGGATCCGAGATCTTTGGGTTATAAACTTACATTTCAAGTTTCAACAAAATCGGATAAAAATTGTGACCTCTATAGGGTCCACAACCTTGATATACCATATTCTTACGCTATTTGAGAACGAACGGCGGCCATTGTGTCTGTCAATTTTGGGCCGATTTTCACGAAATTTGAAATCATAGTCCTTAGGGTGTAACGGTGATATAATAATACAGGTTTTTAAATTGGATAAAAATTATGACTTCTATAGGGTCCACAAGCTAAAAACGCGATTTGTCGTACAATCAGGGGCCATAATTCAGGAAGTTATGGTCCGATATGCGCGAATATCAAAAAGAACCAAGATCTTTGGGTTATAAACTTACATTTCAAGTTTCAACAAAATCGGATAAAAATTGTGACCTCTATAGGGTCCACAAGCTAAAAACGTAATTTTTCGTACAAACGGGGGCCATAATCCATGAAGTTTCGATCCGATACATGCCAATATCGAAAGCAGCCAATATCTCTTGGAGATAAACCTATATTTCAAGTTTCGTCAAAATCGGATAAGAATTGTGACCTCTAGAGTGTCCACAAACAAATTGTGGACGGACGGACGGACGTCCGGACGGACAGGGGCGACGGAATAATACGTCCACATGAAAATGTGGGCGTATAAAAATTCTCCCTACCCAAACTTTCCTACAGAGCCATAGTCAGATTCTGGATTAACAGTACCCTTAATTAGAATGAATTAATGAAATGGGGTTTAACGTCCTACTGCTCCTATACTGGGCTAATGAAGGCGGGCATACGCCATACAGTGTGCTATGAGGGAAATTTTGTCCGGGCAGCGGCACTATCGCCTACTCTTATATCGAATTTCAACTGCCAAGGGATCTTTTACGTGCATTCCAATGTATACACGGGACCTCGGTTTTTCGTCTCATCCGAAGGACTAGACAGCTGTCCTTGTCAGGCCCTCCGTCCTGTATCACTGACAAGGGGGAACCACGCCGGAAAATCTGGATGAACTTTCTCGACCAATGCAGGAATCGAACACCCGACCTCCAGGGTAGCGAGCCAGTGTCTTACCCACTTAGTCACGTGATCCCCCACCCTTAATTGGATTAAACAATATTATATCAAATATAACATGATAATTTTTAAAGATATGATACAAAAACAAGGTAACAGATTATATAAATTTGCCTTATATATGGCTATGTTACACGATAAGCACACGCCCGTAACTGGGCGGGGGGCTGCAAAGCGTTTCGCTTTACATTATCTAGTCTTTAACTATTATAGTGAGAACTACCATCTCGCTATCTAATCTCCCATAATGTATCTTTAATAATAATAGGGAATTTAAAGATACAGCTTTTTGTGTGTACATACCAAAATCTTTACAAATACTACAAAGATGACTTGTTTTCTTACGATGCTTCACTTTGTGTAAATTGTCCTGGTTCTCCTCTAGATGTTAACGTCATCAGCGGGTGTGAATACCTTGGCTGGCAGTCCGATAATGATTTCATTGCAAAATGTCTGTCCTTATAAAGGGAACTGAAACATTCCAATATAATCAGTCTCCATTAGTTTAATTAATAAGACAATATCTAACTCGGTCAGTATTTTTTATCAGTCAACTATAGAGACATTATTTCTGTTAATCTCCTAATTACTCTAAATAGATTAATATGGCCGCATCTAACTCAGTTAATAGTTTTAACATTCAATTACTGATATCTCTTTAACGACCAAGGATATTATATTACATACTTGGTCTAAGGTGACTCAGGTCTAACAGTACTCGGTTTTTAACCGAGATTTAAATATAGCTACCAAGGGTCACTATATTACACTATTTGCTCGGCCGTTAAGGGTACTAGCCATGCATTCTACTACACAGAAACTTGGTTTATTCCAATCAAAGAAAGACGAAATAGACACAAAACTATTAATAATCTAACTCCTCCTTATCTTAATAACCTCATCAATCTTTAACCAACAAATACATACTTCCTTCGAAACGAAGATAAAGTTAAAGAAATTCGATGCCGTACTAAACTTTGTTCTAAATCATTTATCCCATCCAGTATAAGAGAGTGGACTAACGACAGTACCCCTTCAAGAAACCCCCAAACTCTCAAAATATCTTCCGACCGTCTCCCCAGATCAGATATTAAAGTTCCTTCGTTTTGCTATAACAATCAGCGTAAGTTCTAAATAATTCATAGAAGATGTTACATAATGTGAGCGACAGTAAAAGATTAGAATCATCATATGACAGCTTGTGTGATACAATCTCCGATGTCCTTTTATTGACCATTATAATTGTTTAATTTAACAAAGACCCAGCGGCTGGCATATCTATAGTGGACAAGTTAGAAAATTAAGTATAGTGGTCAATTGTTCTGTAACCTGCTATGTAATTATCGTAAGATAGTCTTAAGTTCCTTTTGTTCAGTATCATTAATGAATGTACCATTTTTAGTATACAGTCTTAAGACCAACTAGAAATCAGCCAGATTTCTTCAAGTTTAGGAATGTGACCTCAAAGATGTGTTGAAGAGAATCCTGTCATCATCCTCTCAAAGACAATAAATTGTAGCCCAATTATTATCTATTCAGATGGTGTATTGTATAAGTGTCATATTACTATTACACTGCTCTATATTTAGAATGTAAAACTAAAGCTAGATGGGTTTGGAATCAGATTAAATGAAATTTAATTGAACATGCTATTGTTTAATTTAACAAAGGCCCAGCGGCTGGCGTACCTATTGTGGGCTAGTTAGATAATCAAGATAATCTTAAGTTCTTTTGTTCAGTATCATTAATGAATGTACCATATTTAGTATAAATTGTCTTAGGTTTTTTGGATATAGACAGACGAGCTTTGGTTGCTTACCAGAGAAGGGTTTCTCATATATTTAGTATTCTGATACTATTGTATATGTTAGAATAAAATGTTGAATCCAGATCATCTTTTATTTCTGTTAACCCAAACTATGTTAAGTTATATTTATAGCACGGCTTTCATGAGTTAACAGGTTTAACCAGAGGCCGAAGGCCGAGGGGTTAAACACGTTAACTAATGAAGCGTGCTATAAATGACTTGTAACATTGACAGCTGCTCAACATGCTTATTGTTATTGCACAGAAACAGAAAACACACCCAGCTTCTCTATATGATTTCTACTAAAACTAGTGTAAACCAGAAAAAGTGTGCAATAACATTGAACATGTCTAGTTATTGCACGTTTAAGCTCCACCCAATCTACTAGAGGGAAAACAATCTGCTTATTCAACGAAAAGAACAAATGAAGATTTCCCATCCATGTTACAAAATCACTTAAGACTCCGATGCTGTGACCTGCAGGGTCACAAATTCATTAGTCATGTTCCTGAAAGTCCTGCATGCCTCTGCGGTCATATATTTGAAGATCCCGGTCACTGTTTTCTGCGATGTTCTGTGACAAAGTGTACCATAACTTTCATCAAATTTACAATATTATAAAATACGAACAATTATTTAGATGTATTGAACGTATTGACCTCCAGTTGGTTTTGATAATACATGTGTATGATATTATTTTTTCAACTCTATGAAGAATGTGTTCGCTGTGTTGGAATTACAGACTTAATTAATCCCACGTGTCATTGACAAGCTATGATCTGTGTATATCCTGGTCATCTATACATATAATGACGTGGTAAATAAACAACTCCATATATGATGATGATTTTGTGTTGTCAGACTCAATTTCCCTATTAGGAGTTCCTATCCTGTTCGTGTCCATTTTTCCCTATTGTTGGACGTTATATAACCAGGAGTTTACTGACAGTAAGACAGACTTGGAATAGAGCGCCTCCCGACTTCTGTCTATTCCATATTCCTAATTAAGGGTTTATCATTATGCTAATCTTCTGTTATCTGTAGTGTTACAGTTATCAGTTATGGCGCTCCTGAACCAGTGAACCAGACACAACGTGTGACCTGTCCTATGTAGCAGAAGGAAATCTTGTTGGACGCCAGAATTCTCCAGTTAAACTATTTAATAGACGTTGAAAGGGTATACATTTTAGCTTTTGTCTTTGCTAATTTTCGATCATGGCTGAAAATCCTGAAGTTACATCTTTAGTTCAGAAATTAACCAGGTATTTAAGTTGGCTGTCTACAACTATAAACGTCATGGTAGATCTAATTTAGTTGAATCTTTTTTGTGGGAACCTAAAACTTTTAAAGCCTGGATAACGAGTATTGAAATATATTCCTTTTGCCGAAGTTGCTAGACATAAGGTAAAATATGTGTTAACAGAACATAGTTTTTATGTGAAACAATCACTGGTTTATTCTAAAAGCACGACGTTTCGACAAGTATCCTCTTATCGTTATCATTGTGCTTGATAACGATAAGAGAATACTTAACGATTAGAGACTTTTGGCAAGCAGAATTTTCCCATCCGTATCACGTATCCGTATCGTATACGTGATACGTTGCGTCAATGTTGTTTTAGAGTTTTGGCAGATTTTTGCGTCGCGTACGTATGAGTAGCTGAATTCAACTTAGTTCTATTACAGCATGATGGCAGATATCTACCAAGATCGCCATCAGTACTAGCCACGTGCCTATTAAAGTCTACAATTTCATGGAGGGAATGTTATTAAAAATCTTCGACTTCGACTCGACTGTAATTTTTGGTTTCACTAATGTATCATTTCATAAAGTTTATACTCCTTTACCACAGAATAAAATCATTTTCAGATATGCAAGGTTCCGCCTCCCTAAATTTAGCAGGTAGATCAATCATCATGGTTAAAATCACATCAAATATACACCTTCGTGTTCTAGAATACACAAAGATTCATAAAAACGCTATGATACAACATTTAAGCGTCTAAAAGTAGCAAGAAAGACGGTAAAAAGACACGAAAATGTTATACGGACCTTTTCCGTATGAAAGCTGTTCGATACGTGCTGCCGTATCCGTGTGTCGTATCACGTATGAGAAATACACACACATTGATGACGTCACAGGCAAAATCCATACGGATACGCGATACGGACCAGAAATTTACGCTTGCCAAAAGTCTTTATTATGTAGAATATGTGACTTATCAATTCAGTAAAGGTACTGTGGGTGACTTTTGAATAGACTTTTAACAGAAAATCCTAATTGTACCTGGGAATTTGAAAAGGGAATTGGCAAAGAGATATGATACTATTGCTGACCCACAACATGCTTTAGTCATATTGCAGAAGTGCTGTTTTCAGGGGGTAGTAGCTTATTTCAACACTAACGCCGAAAACTCAGATAAATAGTTAAAATTGTACTTTTAATAACCCAGTGTCCAAAACTAGCTAACGGTCACAATAACGAGATAGACATCGCTAAGGCGAGCCGGTCACAAGACTAAAGTTACAGTAGATTAAAATAATTATATAATAATATTTGACCAGAAATGTTAAATTGTACATAGGAAACAGATGTTTAAATATAGAAGAAGATATGAACATAGCAAGAGCGTGTGTTAACTATATATAATTACGTAATATATATTGTTACATTAAGTATAAACCCAAACAGTTAAAAGACTTGAAAGATTGATGAGATATCAGTTCAGATATTGGTCAATTACTCCTAAAATTACTACTGTAACTAAACTTATATGATAAAATATATACAGAGATACACTATAATAATATTACAAGCTAAACAATTTGTTTCTAAAAATGTTCAAGTATATGCTGAACGTTTACTTTCTTTGGCTAAAGGGGGGTTGGATGGCCGAATGGTTAGCACGCGCGTGATGTATCATACGGTCTGACATTGAGTCAACTGGCGGGGTTTCGAATCCCCGGTTGTACGTGACAAGGAGTAGGGTCGCCTATCCAACCTCGTGGGTTTTTTCCGGGTCCCCCGGTTTCCCCCCACTGCTAAAGACCCCTACGCGCAAGCGAGTTATTGAAATAAAAATGAACCATTTGTTAGTCCCTAAATGACCTAGTTTGTGTCGAGTGGACGTTAAACCCCATTTCTCTCTCTCTCTCTCTCTCTCTCATAATTCTACCGAAATCCTTTTAAAACCAGTTCAGCGGCAATTAGTAGGATATTTCTCTACGGGATTGTTAGATGACCGTTTCAAAATGAAATTAATTCGAGACAATCCGAAAACTTTACAAGAAGCGACAGTTTCGGCCATGTCAGAATAAAATTTGCATGCCCGATTTGTGTTCCGGTTAACTCAACATTCTACGCCAAGTTTTACACATAATCATGAGCCAATGGAAATTGATCATCTTATGAAAAAATACCAGAAATGTTATTATTACAGAAATCGAACTAATAAGTGTAGGTCAGGCCGCGGTTAATTTATTGTCTGTTTTCATCCGTAATAATTGCGCACTTCCATTATTATTTGGTCAAATTTAGTGAGGTCACAAATTCGTCCTGTAAAATTTGTAAAACTATATTTGTTTGCCATCAAATATGAACAAAGAATTGGCGC